CCCATACTGGCCTCCCAGACATCAGTCTGGGGTCCATGTTCTCCCCCTTGTTCAGGCCAGCTGTTTCTGTGAGTTTCACAAGCCTGGTCCTGACCACTTTGATTGTCATTCCTCCCTCTCTGCAACTGGGTTCCAGAGGTCAGTTCAGTGTATAGCTGTGGGTGTCTGCCTCTGTTTCCATAAGCCACTGGATGAGGGCTCTAGGATGGCATATAAAGTAGTCATCAGTCTCATTATAGCAGAAGGGCATTTAGGGTAGCCTCTCCACCATTGCCTGGATTGTCAATTGGTGTCATCTTTGTAGATCTCCGGAAATCTCCCTAGTGCCAGTTCTCTCCTCAGACCTATAATCGCTCCCTCTGTTATGATATCTCTCGTCCTGCTCTCCTCTATTCTTCCCCGACTCAACCTTTCTGCTTCTCCATTTCCTTGTCTCTCCTCCTTTTCTCCTCCTCTCATTCTGTCAGCTCCCTCTCCCCTACCTTCATGCTCCCAATTAGTTAAGGAGACACTGCCCCTTCCTATTCTCCGGGGTCCATGCATTTTTCTTTTAGAGCTCTTCTAGTTCCCTAGTTCCTTTTGGTGATGAGGACTGTAGGCTGGTAATCCTTTATGTATAAAATTCATATATGAGTGAGTACATGCCATATTTGTGTTTTTGTGACTGGGTTACCTCACCCAGGATGGTTTCCTCTAGTTCCATCAATTTGCCTGAGAATTTCAAGATTCTATTGTTTTTTTCTGCTGAGTATAAATATTCTCCATTGTATAAATATACCACATTTTCTCTATCCATTCTTCATTTGAGGGGTATCTAGGTTACTTCCAGTTTCTGTCTATTACAAACGACGCTGCTATGAACATGGTTGAACATATGTCCTTGTTGTATTTGGGTATATGCCCAAGAGAGGAACTGCTGGATCTTGAGATGGACTGATTCCCATGTTCCTGAGAAACTGCCATACTTATTTCCAAAGCAGTTGTACAAGTTTGCACTCCCACCAGCAATGGAGGAGTGTTCCTTTTTCTCCACATTCTCTCCAGCATAGACTGTCATTGGTGTTTGATTTTAGCCATTCTGGCTAGTGTAAGATGGTATCTCAGAGTGGTTTTGAGTTGCATTTTTCTGAGGGCTAAGGATTTTGAGCACTTTCTTAAGTGTGTTTCAGCCATTTTAGATTTCTCTGTTGAAAATTCTCTATTTAGCTCTACACCGCACTTTTTTATTTCATTGATTGGTTTTTTGGTGGCTAGCTTCTTGAGTTCATTGTATATTTTGGAAATCAGCCCTCCTTCAGATGCGGAGTTGGTGAAGATCTTTTCCCATTCTGTGGGCTGCCGTTTTGTGTTACTGACTGTGTACTTTACTTTACAGAAGCTTCTCAGTTTCAGGGGGGGCCCATTTATTAATTGTAGATCTCAATGTCTGTGCTACTGGTGTTATGTTCAGGAAGCAGTCTCCTGTACCAATTCATTCAAGGTTATCTCCCACTTTCTTTTCTAGAAGGTTCAGTGTGGCTGGATTTATGTTGAGGTCTTTGATCCATTTGGATTTAAGTTTTGTGCATGGTGATAGATATGGATCTATCTGCAATTGTCTGCATGTCCGAATCCAGTTGTTTCAGCACCATTTGTTGTAGATGCTTTTTTCCATTGTATTGATTTAGTTTCTTTGACAAAAATCAGGTGTTCATAGGTGTTTGGGTTAATATCAGGGTTTTCAATTCAATTCCATTGGTCTATCTGTCTGTTTTTGTGCCAATACCAAGGTATTTTCAGGAGTATGGCTCTATAATAGACCTTAGAGTCAGGGATGGTGACGCCTCCAGAAGTTCTTTTATTATACAGGGTTGTTTTGGCTATCCTGGGTTTTTTTCCCATATAAAGATGAGTATTGTTCTTTCCAGGTCTGTGAAGAACTGTGTTGGGATTTTTATGGGGATTTCGTTGAATGTGCAGATTGCTTTTGGAAAGATTGCCATTTTTACTATGTTGACCCTACCTATCTAAGAGCATTGGGGATCTTTCCATTTTCTTGTATCTACTTTAATTTCTTTCTTTAAAGACTCAAAGTTCTTACTGTACAGGTTTTCACTCTTTTGATTAGCATTACCCCAAGATATTTTGTGTTGTTTGTGGCTATTGTGAAGGGGGATGTTTCTCTGATTTCTCTCTCATTGCATTTATCATCTGTATAAAGTAGGGCTACTGATTTTTTGAGTTAATTTTGTATCCTGCTACTTTGCTGAAGGTGTTTATCAGCTGTAGGAGTTCCCTGGTAGAGTTTTTTGGGTCACTTACGTAAACAATCATATCACCTGCAAATAGTGAAATTTGACTTCTTCCTTTCCTTTTTTGTCTTATTGTTGTATCTAGAACTTCAAGTACAATATTGAAGAGATATGCAGAGAGTGGACTGCTTTGTCTTGTTCCTGATTTTGACATGGGGTTTAAATAGAGGGCCAGAGTTATACATAGTTAAGTAGCTCTGATCAAGTTATAACATTTCCAATGAAGTCACAGGTTCTTGCATCCAGATCCAAGGAGTTGGATGGAGACAAATGGATATTAATTTAAAAGAGGGGCAGAGTAGAGACAGATACATTTGCAAGGAAGGAAGCAGCTGTATATAAGATAAAGCTTGGCAACCCAAACAGACCCCATGTACAAACAATTAAGTGGCATTTATGTCACATTGTATGGAATTTTAAGGTTGTTTGGATTGCATGGACTTTGGGGTTCATCTGCATAGCATGGGATTTCTTAGATTTGCTCTTTCTACTATACATAGTTCCACATACACTCTCATGTGTGTGCTTTAGTATTATAATAAGCCATAGGTTACCTGCAGAGATTTCATAAAACTGTGCTATACCAGTGGGATTTAGCTAGCCTTATCCAGAGATTCCCGGCTTTTCTCTTCTCTGACTGGTTTCTTTCCGATATTAACCTCTCTGTGACCATGGACCTCCCAGACCATCCCAGCCTCCCATCAACTCTACCACCTCACTAACTTTAGGTGGCTACTAGATTACTCCTCAGTGTGAAGCTAATTTGCCTTGCCCATAAATGAAGGAAGCCAATACTAAAAGTAAATGACATAAATGTTAAACAATACCAGAAAGATTCCTTAGTGGAATTTAGTTCTTTGTGTAGGGTTAAGACTTCCTAGGCTTTTCCCCTTTCAATGAACATTATTGTGCCTATTGTTACTGTTCTTGTTCTTGTTCTGTTTTTGTTTAACCAGTCATGATGGTGAGACTTTATGGAATTAGCATCTGATATTACTAGGAGACACAAACCTGCATAAAACTCCCTAATCCTTCTGCTCTTGCAATCTTACTGTACTCACTTCTGCAATAATTCCAGAACATAAGGTTTGGGAATTGTATTGTAGATGGATCCAGTGGGACCTGGATCCATCATTATGTGTTTTGATTGCTTATAGTTTTTTTTTGGTAATGTTCTCTGTCTTGTGAAAATAATGTAATTGTATTATAATCTCAAAAAAAAGAAAAGGAGGAATTTTTAAAAGGAGTACCAGAAAGAAATATTTGAAGACAAGAATGTTGTTGAAGTCATGATAAGAGGTAAATTTAGAACAGTGCCTTTCAGCAGATGTTTACTAAAGATAAGTACACATCTCGTTGAATAGCCTGCTTTTTAAATTAATCCACTATTTTATAAATGGAAAGAGAGAGAGTGTGCATATTCTTAGCCTTATTTGAGACCTTCCTTCTTATCATCAATACTCTATGTTCTACGCTGGGTATAGGATCTGATTTTAATTCTACAAAGTTGTACCACAAGGCATATTTGAGATACAATGAGTGAAATGTACATATGGACATGCCCAGCCTCATGCATTGTGACAAAGGACACTGAACTTACAGAAAAGAGCTCTAACCTGTGTACAATGCTGGAGTCTAAGCTATTTTAGAAACTTCTGGCTTTGCAGCACATACAGATTGGCTCAAACCCTGTATTATTTCAACCTGCTATAGCTTTACAGACAAGTCAGGGCTATAAACTAAAGAGAATTTAGAAGTGATGTGCCACCATGACATACCTGTAGAAAGAAAGAAATGTTATAATGGACTATGAATCAGAAAGCACATTTTTCCTGCTTTCTAATTCACACTATCTGAACGGCAGCTAAAAATTTTGCCTGTTGTTGATTTTCCCTATGTGCATGTGGTTTACATGTGTGCATATGGATGATTTGTGTGCATGTTCAATGCATGAATGCTTGTGTGTGTGTGTGTGTGTGTGTGTGTGTGTGCCTGAGTGTATGCATCTGTGCATTTGTATATACATGCATGGGAAGGTCTATCACTGATGTCAGAAATCATCCTCAATCAATATTTCATCTTAATTATTAAGGCTGGGGCTCTCAACAAACCTAAAGATCACCAAGATGGTTAGCTTTCTTATCCAGCTTGAAATTACAGGTAGACTGCCATATACAGCCAACATTTACATGGGTTCCTGGGGCTTTGAACTCTGATCCTTTTGCTTACACAGCAACAACTTTAGTCTTTGAGTCATTAAGCCAGCCCCATCTACGTATTTTTGATTCCCCTATAAGAGATGGCAACCTCTAGACTAGCTATTATAGAAAGAGACCAAGATTCTTTGGCTCTACCAACTCATGTTTCAGTGATTACTTTGCTGGTGCTGGTCTGTTTTGCTCCAGATGTTAATACAGAGGAAATGTTGCTTGAATGATTAATGTGGGGCTAGAAACCTGGGCATGTGTGCTGAGTGATCAGTGGTAAAGGTGAATGACCATATGTGCTGGCTGATCAGAGGTGAATGGCTTCTTTGCACTCATACCACAGCTCACACATTTATCTGCTGTGAAGAGAAATTGCTCGTTGACAGGTTGCTTTGGTGAATAGAACATGTAGAGATAAAAGATGTTGACATAGGCAGGCATATTTCTCATCTCTTTGTCAGCTACAATGGTGGATCCACAGTTTCAAGCTTGAAATCATCTCTTGCTTTGGCAGAATATGTGCTAAAATTGGAAAGATGCAGACAATATTAGCATGGACCCAGTGTAAGGATGACATGCAAACCCATTAAAAATTATCTTATCATTATAGTAAGGAAAGTGGCAGAGTTGGAAAAGCTGTTGCCACATAAGCATGATGACCTGGATTTGTTCTCCAGAACTCAAATAAAGCTAGACACAGGGCCATAGAGATCTCTCAGTGGTTAAGCATAATGGCTGCTCTTCCAGAGTATTCAGGTTTGATTCCCATCATTCATATGGTGGCTAATAGCAATCTGTAACTCCAGTTTCAAAGAATCTTCTGGTCAATGTATGTACATTGTGCACAGAAGCACATCCAGGCAAACACTCATATGTATAAACAAAAATATAAATACTTTTTAAAAAGCTAGGGAAGAGGGAGCTCATGGACACCAGACAGACAGTAGGGAAACCAGCATAGGACCAAACCAGGCTCCATGCACTTGGGTGTCAGTTAGGAGACCTGGGCAGTCTATGGGGCCTCTGGTAGTGGAACAGTATTTATCCCTAGTGTACTTTGGGAGCCCATTCCCCATCGAGGGATACTCTCTTAGCCTAGATACATGATGTGAGAGACTTTGATGATCCCCTGTGGAAGGCCTCAGCCTCCCTGGAGAGCAGAAGGGGAATGGGAAGGGGGGATCGGTGGGGGGCATGTGATGATGGGAGCCAGAGGGAACTGGATTTGATATGTAAAAGTAAGATTGTTTCTAATTTAAATAAATGAAAAAGAACAACAACAACAGCAAAAAGCTAAAGAAGGTAGTTTTTTTCCTGAAATCCCAGTGCTGAGGATTCTGAGACAGGAGGATCCACAGGGGCTAGTTGGCCAGCCAGGGTAGTTGAATCAGTGAGCCCCAGTTCAGACACAGTATCTCAAAACACAAAGTAGGCAGAGACGATTTTTTCAAGTTGAATAGCAACATGCACACACATGCAAGTTCATGTTCAACTGCATACACACATGCAGACTGTCTTCATGCTTGCATGGCAACTGCTTTATGAACTGAATCATTTAAGGAGAACACCAAAATAGCGTGAAGAGGAGATTTAACAATAGCCCAGAAGTTCAGAGAACTTGATGTTTTTTAATTTTTTCAGGGAATCTGTGATCAGTTCAGAGAAGCCATGTTGGGTGGCTTACAACCACTTGTAACTACAGCTTCAGGAGATCCCACAACTTTTGTATCCTCTGGGATCATCTGAACTAATGTACACATACTCCTACAGATATACCTTTTATGATAAATCTTTCCACCAAAGCCGCCCAGCCCCTCTGTCACGTGTGTACTTTACACCAGCTGCCCGCCCAAGTTAGGGCCCAAATGAATACACAGAAACTCACATTAGGTACAAATGCTGCTTGGCCAATGACTAGGATTCTCATCTGTTAGCTCATTCTTAATTATCATAAATCTATATATTTTATAACACTTATCGGACACCTTCCATTGGTGTCCCTCCTTGTTGGTGGATCACATTGTGCCGCTGGAGGAAGAGCGGAGAGGAAAAGGACACTTCCTGTTTCTCCTTGCTTAAATATGAGTCTCTGTGCTATGTCACTTCCTGCCTGGATCACCACTTCTTTACTACATTTCCCAGAATCCCCTTTGACTCCTAGTCCTGTCTAACTTGCTGTCTTATTAGCCAAACAGTACTTTATTCAATAATCAATAAGATGAACATACACAGTACATTCCCCACCTGCATATATATAATTAAAAATGAAATTAAAAGAAATTATTGAAGGTTACTAATCAGCAACCAACTGTTTCATAAAGCACCACTATGCAATGGCAAGAAGACATTGACCCAATTTGGTTTTACTAGCAAACACTTTTGCAAAAAAATTGTGTCTTTCCCTTTTAGAAAGATTGTTCAATGAATATCATCGGAGTATTGTGTGTAAGCATAATGCTATCTAGTTAGATGAGCTTGAGAAAGTCATTAGTTCTTGTATCTGGGAAAAGTAGGTATGCTTAAAATATTGATACAATTAACCTTAAGCAATGAAGATTGTCTAAGAACCTGGGAGTAAAATATATTTCAGTGTAGTGTCACTATCAGCAGCAAGGACGGGCTGTACCCAAAGGAAATTTCCACCACTGTTGAGGATACCCTAATTCAAAAAATAAACAAATAAGTTTAAAACCATGTACATGCATGACCCACAGAAAAAGTGAATTTAATTTGCATGACACATAGGCTAGGCATGTGAGATAGAGCTGATGGGGCTGAAGGACATATAGAAACTGAAAGATGAAAGTTCTTGAGTGTCAGAGAGAAGCAGGAATGATATGGGGAACAGAGAATAAGGTAAGAGAGTTAGTAAAACTTACAAAACAGACAAGTTTAAGGAGGCTATGCCTGGGGCACATTTCAGCCAAAAATTGGGACCAGGGGATTAGTCTGCTTCAAAAGCCATTAAGAAAATATAGATAGCACCTGAGGAACTAGAGCCTATGTTGACCTCAGGTTCCAAAGTGTAATTCACACACTTGCATGCACACACACATACACATACAGACACTCACACACACACACACACACACACACACACACACACACAGAGAGAGAGAGAGAGAGAGAGAGAGAGAGAGAGAGAAGAAGAGAGAGAGCACTCAGGACCGGCAGAATGGATAATAGGAAGATGTGTTTACTGGTTAAAAAGGCACAAAAACTCAATAAACACCTTAACTGGCATATTTCATGTCTTATATTTTCCCTAAAAAGCCAATCTTTAGTGTGCATTAGGATCAATACTTTTCTGAAAACAATGATTAATTACGCTCTTCTTTTTATTTCAGATTTTTCATTATTCATTTACTGCTTCATATTTGATTTACAACATTCACACTGGGTAAGTTCTTTGCTTTTCTGCACTTTATGAGTCACTGTCAGGCTAAGTTGTCACAGATGTCAGTTTGTTCACATGAAAATATTTACATCTTTTCAAGGGAAGTGTGGGAGCTGAATCCTCCAGAAGTCGAGGACTCGGTGTTGCAGTATGCGGCCTGGGGTGTGCAAGGACAGCAGCTGGTAAGCATGCTCTGCCCAGCCCCTGTCCAGTGAGGCTAAATGAAAGGTCTTTGTAGAACTCATATCCTTGTGCAGTTTTACTGCAACCCTTGTCATTTCTCTAAGATCCTCTGCATTGGTTATCTTAAATAAATATTTCTTTATTTAAAACATTTTTCTTAAGTGCTTTCCTAAGAGTGTGTCAAATGAAGAGTGGGAGGCAGCTCAGTGGGTAAAGCCAAGAAGCATGAGATCCTCAGTATTAACTCCACTACCTATTAAAAAGCTAGGTGTCATGGTGTGTGCTTGGAACCCCAGCCCTGGAGAGAGACACACAGCTGGATCCCTGAAGCTTCTTGGCCAGCCAGGATAGCCCATTCAGTCAGTTCCACCACTTATAAAATATGTTTTCTCAAAAAAGGGTGACTGGAAGTGACATCCAAGTTTGACCCCTGGCTTACCATACACATACACACATACACACACACTGGTATATCCTCTGCTACCTGTGCATATGTGTGAACACACACACACACACACCACCCCATCACCCCACACACATGAAAGAATCTATCAAATGGCACTAGTAGTACTTGCTATTTGACCAATTTAAAAAGTGTTTAGCTAGCAGGTACTAGATGGTCAAACCCATAATTAATAATGAAAACAGAAGAAAAATCTAGGATATTAAGTCTTACTTCCACACAATTCCTACTTCCAAGTGTTGCCAGCTCTTTTGCGAAATTAATTATGAAATTCTTTATTACTGAAATAATGGAGGCAGAAATATTTGACAATCACCTGTGTATTCATATACTTACTTTGCTGTTGTATTTCTTTTGTTTGTTTGGTTTTGGACATAAGGTCTCTTTTAGTCCAGTCTGGTCTTAAACTACCTGTGTACACAAGGGTGACCTTGATGACCCTCTTGCCATCCTCTCCTAAATGCTGGGATTGCAGTCATAAACACATAAACACATAAACACATGGTTTATGAGGTGCTGGGAATCAAATTCGGGGCATACCCAGCAAGTGCTGTACCAACTGAGCCTCAACACCGTTCCTTAATACTACATTAATTTTAAAATTGTTTATGATTTGTGTGGGGGGGTGCACATGCATGCCTGTGGCTGACTTGTGTAGAGGCCAGAAAACAGCCTGTGGGGCTTGGTTCTCTCCTTCCAACACGTGAGCCCCAGGAATCTTCCTCAGATCATTAGGCTTGGAGGCAAGCACCTTCCTGCAGCAAACTCCAGGCCCAATGATGTTCACATTCTATTTTTACTTTCTAAGACAAACATAGAAATCTCTAGAGTTCTCTAAATTCTATCTAATCCCTAACAGGTACACTTGATAATAATGTTTTTGTAAGATTTAGTTTCATTTTCCATTGTGATGTCTCTTTTCAGATGGATTAAGTTAATACTTACTTTTTAACTCATGGTGATACAGAATTGGTGTTAACACATATTATTTAGAAGCTTTTCTATACTTTGAATGTGAGATGACCTTCATGCTTCATAGTACACATTTTGATGAATGTGCTATAGGGATAATTGTGTAGATTCCCCAGTGGTGGATGTATTTCTCTACTGAGCCTGTTAGAACAATCTCAGTAATGATGCCCCAATTCATGCTTACTTGCTACTCATGTTGGGTGTGTGATATCTTTCTTTGGGGTACTGTCAATTTTACATGATACAACTGAAATATGCGCCAAGAGTAAGGGGATTTTAAGATGATTATTATATCTCTAAAATGTGAAATTTAATTCATGATGATTTAATCAGCATGTGTTTATCTTATTTATAGGCCTAAATTTAACCTTTAAAAGTCTTTTAATTGAGTTTAGAAACATCTAAATGTTTTACAAATTAAAATTGATAGTTCAGCATTAGCCAGATGGGCTGAAGTATTTTTCTGATTTTCTATGTTCCTCAATTTCTTCATTAATAAAATGAAAACATCTAATCCATCATATCACAACAAAAGTTTGAATACTATGACTCTTCCTTTCAATATAACACCCAATATTGCTGTTTTTATGA